CGCTGCTCTTCTAGCTCCTTCTTCTTCCTCCAGTCCTCTCTGGTCATCTTCTTTGGTTCCTCCAAACTTATTTCTTTGGACCCGGACAGGGGAGCGGCATTAACCGCTTCTACAGCTGCAGCTGACATGGTTGCTCAGTCTCCTCTAAGAGAAGGAAGAAACAATAAATAAATAAATAAACTAAGTTTTCATGAGCTCATCATAGAAACTAAAATACATCCTAAGAAAACCTAGCCTGGGCTAAATAATGTTTCACATGTTCTTAGTCTTTCATGGTATCTGTAAGGAAATGGTCTCTTTCCCCCCCTCCTCAAAATAAGTTTCTATATACTTTAGCACTGCTTCTACTTCACTGATAATTTACAAAGACATACATATATGTATTTTAAATTTCACAGGATTTCTTCTTATATACATTTCTCTACGACGTATTGCATTGGGCAAATCTGCTGCACAGGAACTTTTTAAAGTATTGAAGAACAGAGATGTCAGTTTGAGGTCTAAGGTGCGCCTGACCCAGGCCATGGTGTTATCAATAGCCTCATATGGATGCGAAAGCTGAACAGTGAAAAGGAAGATCATAGAATTGATGCCTTTGAGTTGTGGTGTTGGAGGAGAATACTGAAAGTGCCATGGACTGCCAAAAGAACCAATAGATCTGTTTTGGAAGAAGTGCAGCCAGAGTACTCCTTGGAGGCCAGGATGGCTAAGCTTCGTCTCTCATACTTTGGACATGGTGTCTGGAGGAAACAGTCGCTGGAGAAGGATGTCATGCTGAGTAAGGTAGAGGGTCAGAGAAAAAGAGGAAGACCCCTAACGAGATGGACTGGCCAGGTGGCATCATTGATGGCATCAAGTGTGGCAGCGGTAGTGAGGTTGGCCCAGGATCGGACATTGTTTCATTCTGCTGTGCATGGGGTCGCCATGAGTTGGTTCCGACTCGATGGCACCTGACAACAACAGCAATATATATTTTGCCTCTTTTTTCTACCATACTCTTTTTTGATAAAAACTGTTTATACACATTTGGTTTCATGACATTGTTGGCAATCTCCTCAGCACTCTTTCCACTTCCCTCCTGGGTTCTTAATTTCTATTTGTCCTTCTTCCCAAACCCTTCCTACATTCTGAGCTTTGTTTTAGGGGCAAATTTTGCCCTTCTAGTCTTGTACGGTTAATTGTATTGAGGAGTACAATCCTCCCTGGTGTTATTATTCCACAGTAACTTTTTTTTTTTTTTAAGTTTTTCTTGTGAATTGAGTGAATGTTTAAAGGGCAGATCATCAGTTTTACAACCAACCAATCATACACCTTGTTTCATTATAATGATTATAATCCCCTCCACCCCTCCATGTATCAGTTAACAGTATTATTCATTTTAGCTTTTTAAAAAAATTTTTTAAACACTCAGGCATATATAACAATTTATGCCACCAAAGGACACATTCTGCAAGTCTGCCTCCTGTCCACCAGCTCTCAGTCCCTCGCTTCCCATGAATCTAGAGTCCTCAGCTGCTCCCTCTCTCCATGTTCCCATCTCTGCCTCCATCTCTGGTGTTGCTGCTTCTCTGGATACGGTCTCACCTTCCACTTGTGCTCTTCTCCCTTGATGGTCCTCTGTTTCTGGACTATAAGATTAACTACTCCCCTGTTTTTGTTACAAAACTTCTTTTACAACTGTGACCATGTTAATTAGTCATGACAACAATTACTCACTACTGAAATCATAAGAATCTTATCCCCATCTCTTTTTACTAGACCCATCTAGACAAGATGAAAACTATTCAGTGAGGACTCTATCTTCCCTCAAACACTCTTAAACTAAATTTCCTTTTGAAACCTTGTAAGCCAGTCACTTCGTGCCTTTATCACCCCCACATTTTAGGTAGCCAATGTCAAAGTTTCCCACCCCTGTGTACCCTGTGTATAGAGGGGAAAACATAGATATTTGATATGAAGACTCCTTCCCTCTTTGTTGGTATTCAGAGTTACTACCTCCATGAGTATAGGTCAAGTTCATCAAATTGTAGCAATTTGCCCTCGTTTCCTCTATCAAAACAAAAAAATTTTTTTAAAAATTTTTTTTATCTTTCTCTGGTTGAGTTCTGATCATCAAGCCATAAAGGCTAGGTCAAATGGGTACTATCTGCAAATTTGGGTGTTCTTGTGAATCTCCCCTCACTTCATATCAGCTGGATGCTTCACTCTCAGCTCTAGCTTCTATGACTATGACCTTGTCCATGGGTTCATCACACTTTGGACCAACCAGCCCTTCCTTTTTTCTCTCTCATCTCCAGGTCAACAGGAGTCTATGGAACGTGGTTGAACTCAGCCCATTTCTTCTATTTCCTTTCCCCCTCTTCCACTCATCAGTAGACCAACCACATTAACTCTTGAGAGTAAATCTCTACTCTCTTTCAAGACCAAGTATCTTTTAAGAGTTACCTATATCACTGTCCCTATTTTTTCAACTTCTATTTCCTGCCTCCATTGCTCTTAGTTTCTACCCCTTGTCATTTCAAAGAAAGAGTTATCAATGATTAATGTGTTAAATCCACTGGACATTTGCCAATCCTGTTTCTTTTCTTTCAGATAAAATTTTATCTCTTGATCTATGTGATACCACGTAGATCTTGGTTTTTCTAGTACTTCTCTTGCAGCTCCTCCTGTGTCCTTTGCAGGTTCACTCATTTCTGCCTAGATATTTAATGTCAGATTCTTCAAAGTTCTGCCCTAGGACCTCTTTCCTCACCCTAAATTGCACTAATGGATAGACAAGTCCATCCAGAGCCAAGGTCTCAGTATCACTAATATACCACCGATGGCTACCTAATTTATTTTTCTACTCCAGACCTCTCATATATTCAGACTCATAGATCCAACTGCTTGACATAGCCACATAGAGACCTGTTGTTGCTGTTAAGTGCCATCAAGCCAGTTCCGACTCATAGCAACCTTGTATAGTGTTTCTGAAGAGTGGCTGGTGAGTTTCATCCACTGACCTTGTAGTTCAAACTGATCTTGCTGTCTGGTGCTTATCCTATAGCACCATACCAGGACTCCCATAGAAGTCTTAAGAGACATCTAAACTCAGCTTGTCCTAATGCAAACTCACAACCTGCCCCCTGAGATAGAACACTCTCCCCTCATTCTCTATCTCATTAAAACAAGACTCATCCATTAACACAAGTGGTCCACTTATACCTCATATCTATTTCATTACTGAGAATTGTTATTTTCAGCTCCCGAATCACATTCATATTCACCTACGTCTCTTAATTTCCAAGCTTTGTGTAAAATATTATTTTGGTCTCCTCTGGTTCCAGATAAGGCACCACAGACTAGCAAAGAAGACACATAAAATTAACTATCATATGAAGATTAAAGCACTCCAATGCAGTACTGTCCAAGAAAAATAGAAGTGAGACCCAGACGTAATTTTTCCCCATAGTTTTATTAGTGGTTTTCATTGTGTTGTCAGTGCCATCCAGTTGATTCCAACTCATAGTTACCCTCTATAGGTTTTCCGAGGAGTAGCTGGTGGGCTCGAACTATGACCCCCGAGATTAGCAGTCCAGTGCCCACCCCACAGTGACACATCAGGACTCTCCCAAATGCAATTTTAAGTTTTCTAATAACTACATTTCTAAAAGTAAACAGAAACATATAAAACTAGGTTCACAATATTTCATTTAATGTAATATATCAAACATATTAAGGAGCTCTGGTAGCGTAGTGGTTACGAATCGGGCTGCGAGCCGCAAGGTCAGCAGTTTGAAACTACCAGCTGCTCCGCGGGAGAAAGATGAGGTTTTCTGCTCTCGTAAAGATTTAAAGCCTCAGAAACTCTATAAAGGGTCGCTACGGGTTGGAACCGACTCAACAGCACTTAACAATAACAACAACAACATCAAACATACTATCCTTTCAACAAGCAATCAACATTTAAAAAAATCATGTCCGACGTGTAGTTCACACTTTTTAGGTCTAGTCACATTTCAAGTATTCCATAGCCTTAATCAATGTTCATGGAAACAACAGTCAAGATATCAAACGACACATCGCATTAGGCAAAACTACTACAAAAGACCTCTTTAAAGTACTAAAGAGCAAAGGAGTAACACTGAAGACTAAGGTACACCTGACCTAAGCCATGGTGTTTTACAATATTAGGAGGGACCAGTGCCTGGAGAGGGACATCATGCTTGGTAAAGTGGAAGGTCAGTAGAAAGGGGGTAGGCCCCCAACAAGATGGATTGGCACAGTGGCAGCAACAAAGAGCTCAGGCATAAACACATTTGTGAAGATGGTGCAGGACCAGACATTGTGTAGCTCTGTTGTGCATAGATACGGTTGCTAAGAGTCAGAACTAACTCAAAGGCACCTAACATCAATAATATGCAAGCTGAAAGAACTGAAGAAAAAATTCAAACCTTGGATTGCAATATTGAAGGATTCCCTGGGCAAAATACTGAATGTTGCAGAAGGCATCAAAAGAAGATGGAAGGTATATACAGTCACTGTACCAAAAAGAAATGGGCACTGTTCCACGATTTCAAGAGGTAGCATATGATCAAGAACTCACAGTCCCTGAGAAAAGAACATTATGCTTGGTAAACTGGAGGATCAGTGAAAATGAGGAAGACCCCTAACAAGATGGATCGGCACAGTGACAGCAGCAATGGGCTCAAGTATAACAACAACTGGGAGAATGGTGCAGGACTGGGCAATGTTTCCTTGTGTTGTACACAGGGTCATTATGAGTTCAAGCCGACTGAATGGAACCTAACAACAACATTTACATGTTAAAGTTGAGCAACGAATAAGGAAGACTGTAGAAGAATCAATGTGTTTGAATTATGGTGGCAGCAAAGATTACTGAAAGGACCATGGACTACCAGAAGAACAAACAGATTTGTCTTGGAAGGGTGCTTCTTGAAAGTGAGCATGGTAACACTTCTCCTCTACTTTGGACAAGTGTTCAGGAGGGACCAGTCGCTGGAGAAAGACACCATGTTTGGTAAAGTGGAGGGTCACTGAGAAGGAATTCAGAAAAATGATTATAAAATGTATCAAAACATTATACAATGGAGTTGAGAAAAATAAGGAAGAAGTCAGGAAAGTAGAG